GCAAAAAAAGGGTTTGTTTTAAAAAAAAAAAAAAAAAAAAAAAAAAAAAAAAAATTAAAAAAAAAAAAAAAAAAAAAAAAAAAAAACACCTCCCCAAATTCCTCAGTGATAATACAACATTACTGAGAGAAGACTTCATTCTGAAGTAGAGCCTGCTCCAGAGTGGCCTGGCTCAGGATAGAGAACAGGAAATATGAAACATAAATTTTCTAGCTTAGTAATCCCTCGGCAAAATAGACAAAATGCACATTAACATTCTTCAAAGTTTTACTACCACAGAAATCTCTAGAAAAATCAGAAGAAATTTCACCAATCTAAAGAGTATTTGTTATAAGGTGAAACCTTGTACTCTAGAGCTTGGAAAGAGAACTAACATTATTATTGCCTTTCACCAAATGTGAGGATATGCATAAAACAGGTAGCAGGGACAACAACAGGAGCTTTTGTCAGAGGGAATCAGGTGTGTGTAGGTTTCATGCAGATGAGCTTTATTTAGGCGGTCCCTGCTTCTACCTAGTCTAATAGGAAATCTCCTTGGAAATCCCCCATGTAAATAGTATCCAAGATCTGAACCACAGTGAGCCCACCACCCGGTCCCTGTGCTTTTCCTCGGGTCTGGGGAACAACTAATATCAGTTGCTATTGGGACAAATTCCTGCAATACCTAATACAATGATGTATATACAGTTGGTGCCTAATAAGTGGGCCCCAAAGTGTCTTGTCAGTGCAGCTTTGGACAGCTGGAGAATTGTGAGTGAAACCCTAGGTAGATACTGGGGTGGTTTTTAATCCATAAATTCTTTTTCATTTTACAGGCATTTCTGTAGGGCATCATGAAGAACCTGGGACTTACAGAATCACAGGCATCTACGAGAAAATAGACCAGTATATCAAATTGAATAAGATATATGCAGCCGGAAAGATGATCCTGGAGTATTCGTCAACGGTATGGGTATTGATCCTCATGCTCATGTAGCTGCTTCTTTGGCTTTTCCTCTGAGGAGAACTCCTCTCCGAGGCCAGGGTCAGCTTCACCATCATCCTGTCTGGCTTTTCTCCTTTCTCTGGCACATAGCTGCCTAGGTCATTCACCTCCCCATCGCTGTAGCTGCCATCCAGCATCACAGTCCTGGGCTGGGGCAGCCCACAGGTGCAGGGGGGCTGCAGACATATGGGAACATGTGAGCTCAGCGCCATCCCTCAGAAGCCTGCAAAAGCACTGTGTAGTGAAGGGCGGTACTTCTAGCATCCTTTAGTCTCAGTTTTGGGGAAAGGGGAAAAATAACGGTGGTGACTGGGAGTACTCTGTCAGAGTGCTTATACGGTGGTTTTAAGGTCTACGGTTCAAGCACACAGTGTGGTGATGGGAACAGGATGTTATGTAGCCTAGGATGTCCTTGAACTCATAATTCTTTTACCTCAGTCTGCCATGTGCTGGGATTACAGGCTTGTGCCACCATAGCTGGCACCAATCCCTTGATAAAAAATGTTTACAGGTGGCATTATTCTGTTTGTCATGAGAATGGGAATTGGAAGATGGACACTGTGGGAACAAATGGCAAGGCCATGGTAAGGCATTTCTGGGGGAGATAAGTGCTGAGTCGCAGGCTGGAAGAGGAAAGCAGGAATGTGTGGGGCAGGGAGGTAGCTGAGAATGACGGGAAATTTCCTAGCATAGTGTTTGCCCCTCCCCCTGCTAGGTAGGGGTCCTCTTCTAGAACGCCTTCGTATTCCTACGTGTGGAACATATATGTTCAACAATGTCAAATCATTGTTTTCCTCCTAGGATTCTGTTCTCTCACTGAACTCTGAACAGAACCAAAATTAAATGCACCATGTCTTAAGTTGACTTAGTGGCTGCAAGGATGTGGTAGACGCTAAATAAAGGTCTCAGTGAGTGAAAGATGTGGATACTGTTGGAGCACACAACCAAAGTACGCAGGGGAGAGGGTACGCTACTACATTTTGTAGGGAGGGTTAGACGTGCCCACAATCCCACATCCCGCCAGACCCTTCATGTCATGAGAAAGTCACCTTTTTCCGAACCTTCCGTTCCTTCCGCTCCTGCACAGTGGTCAGGTAGTTGACGGCTGCATATTCCAGCACTGAGAGGAACACGAACACAAAGCTGACCCAGAGGTAGATGTCTACGGCTTTTATATAGGACACACGGGGCATGGAGGCATTCACACCCGTGATGATGGTGGACATGGTCAGTACTGTCGTGATGCCTGCCACAGTGAGAAATAAGCATGTGCTTATATTTCCCCCAGTACTGGAGGCTTTGTCCCTCTGCCCTGTCTGGAAAATACCTATCTACCTTTCAAGATCTAGCCTTTATGAATCTCTTCCTGTCCCTCTGTCCTCATCCCCAAGTCCCTCTCTGTGCACTTGGCATATTCACTGTAGCACTGAATCACCCCATCTTTCTGCAAAGAACCTCTGGCATTCTGACATGAAGGTATTTCAAATTTCAATTGTTTAAAGAGAACGGATATGGGTATTAACAGATATGTATGTTTCTTGTGACTATTGCTCAATCCGGAGGGGTGGGAAGGGAAGACATGAGATGTGTCCTTAGTGCTGTAAAATTTGTAGTCCTGGGCCCTTCTTATCAGCTGGTAGGCACCTCTGGCAGCCACCCCATGCTGGACCTGGTTGTCCTTCCAGCAGGGCTGCCTTGAGCACTTAGAGGCTAGTTTTACCAGGATGGTGGTGTTCATTTCATTCATAGGAGACAGATTTTAATACCAGAACACACATGTACTTAGCACAATAATTGTTGGAATGACAACAGTGCTAACTGCTAGAGGACAGGACATCTGTCTGTGGAAATTTGCCCAGGATTGCAAATTAGGCTCAGAACATTTGCTTGGCAAACATCAAATCACAGGGGAATGGGGTCGCCCTAAGGGCCAGCTCTAAACCATTTTCATTAAAACCTCATGAGTTACTGTGTTACCTGCAACCCTGAGCTACCTGAGCAGTGGATGGTGCATGTGATTAAGTGGGTTCAATATTTAAGGTGAGGAGAGTTGACAGGATGCTGAGAAAGGAGATGAGTGTACTAAACGTGTAGGTCCTCATCCAGTGATTCTAATTCTGCAGCTATGATGAGACCCAAGATGCTTCATTTTTAACAATTTCCCTCAGACATTCTGTGGCAAAGATCCTTTGGGCTACCTTTTGGGAAAGAGTTATGTAATATGATAGATTGTGTAGACCAGGGTTGGATGGACACCTATGGGAACCTAGAAACAGATTTTCTATGTAGATTTTCTGTTTTCAAGTTAGAATGCCAAAAGGAACAGAGGACGAATGGAGGGAAGTACCTTTGTATTTTCAGATACCTGGAATTTACACGAGATATTTCTTACCTAAGGGGACTCTGGCAGGTACAGCTCTGCGGTCGATCCAGAAGGACACCCAGGACAGCATGACCATCAGGGTGGCAGGGAAATAGGTTTGGAGCAGGAAGAAGAAGATGTAGCGTCGCAAAGTAAAATTAATGTACAGACGGTTGTACCAGCCTGGGAGGCAGAAGGAAAAAAGAGAGCTCAAGTCATAACTGATCGGCTTCTTAAAACTTATTCAGGGAATGATAAGTGCCTTACCCTTGGAGGGTGGAAGTGGGAAAAAACAGAAAGCAGAGGTATGTAGTAACTCATATCCCTGCAAGAATCTATTGTAAGAAATCTTTATCCCTTTTATAAACAGAAAGGGAGCCCCTGAAAAGGACTCAAAATATGGTCTAGGGCCCATAAGCCTTTCTGCTACCTGGGAGCTTGTTAGACGTTCAGACTTGGGCTGTGGATATAGTTCAGGGGTACTTAATCAGCATGCACAAAGCCCTGGGTTTGATCTCTCTCTCTCTCTCTCTCTCTCTCTCTCTCTCTCTCACACACACACACACACACACACACACACACACGCTCACATGCACACGCACACACATACACACTTTAGATTCCTGAGCCACAACCCAAATCCACTGAAGCTGAATCTCTATTTAATAGCAATCCCATGTTTCATATGAATAGGAAAGTTTAAGAAGCACTGAGTTGAATAATTCCCTTCTCTCTCTC